CCCCCTCCTTGTATTTGTTATGCTAATCCCGAGTGTATGTGACCTCTCTTATAAATAACACTTTACTGAAGCGATTCGCAGGTTATTCAAACAGTGAATCACTAATTGAATAGTGTTTGCGAGCGACGGGGAGGCTGAAAAACATTTGTGTCGTACGCCGCGAGTGACATCCATCATGGCGCAGTGGGGAGGCTCAGATATGGAGAAATTGGCAAAGGATAAAAAAAAAAAAAAAAAAAAGAGGGGGATGGCAGTTGGAAAGAGGTCAGACCTGTATGACTTCCTTGGAGTAGGAAGGTGGGGAGAGAGAGGAAAGAATTCTGAATCAAATGAAGGGAAATAAAAGATTGTGAAAGCGTGCAAGGAAAGCTGGATTAAACAGCTTGGTGCATTCGTGAATCCTCATCCACTTTTCCTACTACATCTGCACGCTTCACTTCCGCTCTGTGCTTTTATTCCACACACCAATTTGCATGTTCATGTGCTCAATTTACCCCATTTAGTGAAATACTGAAGAGAAACTTTCAAATTCAAACTAGACCTGCATATCTCTTAACTTGTTCATCAGGTTTCTGTTCTTTGGAGTGTGTGATTTGTAATCCATTAAACCATTTTAAATAGCATTGTTTTCTTTTCTCATTGTCTCTCTGTGATCTGCGCGTATTTATTTAATTGTGTCTGTTGGCTTGGCACACACACAAGCAGGTGAATGATGTTTCTAGGTCAGAAGGACTTTATAGTGTCTTGTTACTTGTAATATTAATGCACTTGAAATAGGTCACGATAATACATTTTAAAGAACGATATGGAGAGATATATTGCGATGAACGATAATAATTAAGTGATGAGCAATAAACAATTAAAATAAAGAATCATAATCCCAATAAAAACATTTAATAATAATTAGCCATAAAGGTGACTTAGACTGCAGCCTGAAGTGACCCAAATCCGATTTTTTCACCCCATGCGATCTGTATCTGATTTTTTAATGACACAGATCCGAATTTTTCAAGTGCGACTCAGGCCGCTTGGATATTTGGTCCTAAAACTGATCCATATCTGATCTTTTCACATGCGACTTCAGTCTGAATGGCCAGGTCGCGTTCATCCCACTATGTCATAACAACACGGTAACAAGCACCTGTTGCAAGCAAATACAGCTCAATGCCGATGCTTTTGCTCACTAAAATAGGCCGCTGAAGACGTGTTTCCTCCTTTGAGAGTGGTACAAGTAGGCACTCAAAGATGTACACAAATGTTCTTCTCGTCATACAAAAATTCTGTATGAACTTCCTGTCAGTGAAGCAGCGAAGCACATAGCAATCCTACCACTCTTGGCAGCGACTCCGCACCCACACATTCCTCTCTACGGACGTTGCTGCCACTGCTCCACAAAACGCCATGGCCAAAACCTCGTCCTTCTCCTCCATAAAACAAATAAGCTGTACATGTTCTGGCTCTGGTACGACAGCAACTTTAAAATGGCACTCAATGCTCGTGTCCATGTTCAGGCGACTTCCGTAAACACTGTTGCATGTGACATGGTTGTGTCCTCCGGTGCGTATGCGGGACACATTTGGGGCATTTAAAGTTCACACTGGAGATCACATACAAGTTGAATTTAATTGTAAATGTCAACGACCTTGTAAAAAAGTCGGATTTCACAAAAAAATCCAAATTGAGCATTAAGCCCTGCAGTCTGAACATAGCCTTATTGAACTTGCTGTAGCGTATTACAACAAAAATAACAAAAATCTCCCCAAAGAAAAAGTACTTACTATAAATATTAACCCCAAAAATTCTAGTATTGTTCCAGCTATCATACATTGAAAGATAAGTCGATATATAGTAACTATTGTGTGTAATTTTACTTCTGAAACACATGGTTACTTTGGTTGATTACGTGTACATGTAGTTTGGCAATAGTTGTCAAGTGAGAAAAACTGCAGTAAATAGTAGTAACAGCCTTTATAGTATTAGCACCTGCAGTGGAAAAAGCTAGCTTAATGTAGCAAACGTAATACATTAGCAAATGTAGCTTGAATTTTGTGCTGCACTCTTTTTCCATTTACCCTATGGTCTTCACCGCACATACAAATAAACAAGCTTAACCAGCGTCTAAAACACACAAACACACACACACACACATACACAAACACAGAGCAGGCGACAAAGGGGAGCGGTCCGGGTGAGGTTCAGGTCGGCCTCTGCTTTGCTCTGCCTCATTGACCAGGGATTCACGCTACACTTTGTACGACAATGCACGGCTTAGGCACCAATGCACGTTCACACTTACTCTCCCCAATGACGATGCATCCAGAAGGGAGAGGGGTGTCCATGGTACTGCTGCCAGTGCACTTCTCTGGTCCAACCACGGCACAGGTGCTGGCTGTTTCTCTGTGCGCTTTCAGGCAGCCATTGTTGTTGTTACTGTGCAAGGTCAGACGTAATGACAAGCTGGCGGTACATAGAGTCTAGTCATAATAATAAACAGCACGCCGGCGGAGGTGTATCATTTTCACCGCTCTGGCTTATGCCTATGTCTGGCAGTAACAGGTCCCAAATCGCACTCACAGCACGAACCGGGGGAGGTCCTACTGCTAACATGCACTGACACAATTTCAGAGATGAAAACGGTAGTTGTGTTTGCTGGAGTGTAAAATATAGCTCCAAAGCAAAAGGGTGATTGCTAACTATTTATGTCTGAATGGGAGTTGAATAAGTGGTGGAAATGGCCTGATGTTGAAATTGACCCTTGTTAAAGCAGCTTGCCGTACACTTAAGCTTATAGGGTCACTTATAGCACATCTTTAATGGATGTAAATAATATTTCAGTTTCAATTGCATTTTACTGTATAGCAAACATAAGCTTATATTGCTTTTTTAAAACTACAATGCTACATAGGAATAGAGCAGTAATTGAATATAAACAGTACAGTAATTTAACAGGGATGGAACAATAACTGAAATATTGTGATATCATTTTGTCATAATTCTCACAGTAATATCATGGACCATCACAATATATTGAATTACAAGTCTCTTTGCTTAAATTTTGAGTTATAGTGCAGCAATAGCTAAAAAAAAAAGACAAAGGGAACTACATAGACCATGATCCTTTGCTCCATTTCAGTGTAGACTAAAGGCAGAAATAACAGTTCTAAGCCTTAGTTCTTTGGATTAAGTCTTGTCAAGGCATTTTAAGAGGAAAATCTCCACAATATATCGCAATAAATAACCTACCGAGCGATAATCGTGAGCCTCCCCACCATATCGGGAGCTTTCCCACGATACTGCAATAAATATGACATATTTAAAAGCAGGGACATTTTAAAGTAGCTGTAATCTTTATTGTTACTTTTGGACATTAGGACACAAGTATTTCTACAGATAGACAGATAGACTTTAGTGAGCCTGAAGGAAAGCCAAATTTGTGTGTAAAATTGCACTTGTGCTTATATATGAAATTCTCAAATCCAGAATAGAGATTGTTGCTGAGACTGTTTATTTGGGGGTAGCAGTAGAAGTGTTCGCGGAAAAGGCTGGGAGCAGAATTTGACCCTTGCTACTGCAACATGCTATTCACTTAAGCTTCGAGAGCCACTCCCTACAGACACTTCTCATTGTGTTATTGTGTGAACTGGCTCTGTGAAGCTTCCAGACCATTTTACCCCGAGGCGTACAAGCCACAGCAGCGTTTGAAATCTGCTTGTGTGTAGTAGTGTTTTTTTCATACTCAAGAAAGAGTACATTCTTAAAAGTACTCATTACTATCATGTAAATGTAAAAGTAAATGAGAATTCCCAACTGTTCTGAAATCTTCCAGTTGTGCCACAATTAAAGGTGCATTATTTAACTTTTTGGTTTGGGGTCTATCACCTGCTTGTTTCTATGGACATGACATTAAACAGCTTTTATTCAGTTACAGGTGGTTTTATAGCTCGAAAAATAAAGTATTCTGATTGTGAGTGGGGTTGCCTCTCCACAGATCTGACCTCTAACTTGATCTGGTTTGGTCTTCATTCCAGACAAAGCAATAACCATAAAGTTACACAATGCACTTTTAATGCTGGAATATTTTGCGTTATTTACGGATACATACTGTGGAATCCAGCTCTGCTACATGTTTTCTCAAATTTGCAAGAAGGGAGTCGACTAAACAAAAAAGAAAGAATTGTACTGAACTCTAACGTACCATGCGAATCTTTTTAAACCAAATAAGGGATAAAAAATGTACACGTCTTTTTTTTTTTTTTTTTTCTGTCAGTATAGTCTTTCTCAGTCTATAGCCCTAGTTTTTCCTCGTCTTTTACTGTCTTGTACCACAGCGGTCGAGATCATAACGGTGGCTACTTGCTGTGCCTTGAGCGGCAGGTAGTTAAACACTCGACATTTATAGCGTTCCTTGACTCCTTTTCAGAGAAGTCAGTTTTTGCGAACAGTTCAGATAGTGACCAAAATGACCCTTTTCGTAGCATTGTGCAGAATGTGTGAACAGGGATAAACGTAAACTCTGTGTGGTATCAAAGTTAGGTCACTACTAACTTTTGCTACGGTCGAGAGCTTCCCTTTTGTTCCAACTAACTTTATTACCCTGTATCCATTCAAGCCTTTTGTTGGGTTGTATATCTTGTTGAGTTTTACAACCTGTACCAGGCCACATGTGTGAATGTGTGTGTGCGTGCCATTTCGAGTGAGTACACATGTGCTAGTGGGAACCTTTTTTCAGAACGTCTTGCCCTGGTTTCCTTAAAAAAACAGGTCTAATTGCAACTAATTACCCAGACGAGAAATGCCAATAAACCTTCGCGATAAACCTTCTGGATTCCAAGCTCTGTATAACAGAAAGACATGATGAAATCTACTGTCATAAACGCACATCAAAGCAAGAATCTTGTTTATGAGTCTTTTATGGCGTCTGAGGTTGTAAAATTATCAAAAGTTGTATTGATCTTGTCTGCAGCTTTGTTCCTGACAGTTGTTTCATTTTATTTCCACAGAAACGCTTATGGACACAAAGTGGGCTACGACGGAATTAGCATGGACGGCACATCCCGAAACAGGGGTACGTTTTGGACATTTTTCAAATAGACCTGTCATGATAACAAATTTTGAAGTATGACATATTGCTGAAGTAAATACAGATGATAAACAATAATACTGAAACTAATTTATGCAACTGACACAATAACTCTCAAGCAGGATCACCTACAAAAAACTCTATTATTCTAAATGTAAAATAAGTTATTAAGAAGTTACAAGCTTACTAACCTTTTATGGCTTAAATCTTATTGTATAGCTGAAAGTATCGCCAAAAAATTCCCCAGTAGTGCAAAGAAACACACAATAAACACTGAGTCCAAAATTATATTGTTCCAGCTTTCATATTGAACAATATAGTGTTTCTCGTGACAGGCCTGTTTTCAAATCTAAACTTAAAATACATCAACAGATCATTTAGAATTACTTGATTACCTATTACTATTCAACAAGATGCGCTTTTTAAGGCTGAAATAGGCACCCGGCAATTCGATTTCACTGACCCACCCCGAGACAGATGTTACCTTTCGTTTTGCTCACTTAAAGACATAAAAATCCTCATGGAGAAACCATTTGGACACTAAAATATATCTATGTGTTGACCTTTTACATAGGCAGACATCCAAATCTACCGCACACAAAGTACCAGTGACAGTCTGCGTTGCTTTCCCATGTGGTTCCTACAAAGGGTTCCATAGAGTGGCATTAAAGAGCCTCCACCCTCCTCGACCATACTTCAAATGTGGAAGGCGCTCCTCCTCTTCGCTTTTGTGTGTGCCTTCTGACTTGGGCCTCGTTTTTTTGAAAGATGGCGCCCCATTTTTTCTTCATTGTTTTTACCTCATTGCCTTCACTCCAGATCCCACCCCAGCTGTTCCGAGTCACCCAACCTTCCTATTTGGCCTTTGGTTTAATTCAGAGTAACTAAGCGCTAATGAAGCCAGCCACACCAGACACCAGTGGAGCGGACAATCAGAGGTGCAGCCCCCCTTCGCATCATCCTTTCATGGCCTCCTCACCCGTCCCTCCTCCTATCTGTCCATCTTCGGGCTAGTTTAAGCTGCCATTCAACTCTGATCCCACCAGCCCCATGAAGACAAACCCCTCCTCGCGTCTGTCAGCCAAAGTAGCAACAGATGCTCCTTTTGAAGACTTCTGCATACAGTGGAGCGCGCCACACACTCCAGAGTTCCCATTCGCAAAGACAGGCAGTTGGTCTTGTTTATTCATTGTGGTTGAATGTGCAACAGTCAGTGCTTAAGCCTCTTTTTGTAGACCAGTTTTTCAGAGTATTCATACAGTTCCACAAAACTCAACAATGGGTACTGTGAACGCTCTGCCAGTCCCAAGCCTGGATAAATGAATATACATTTCACTCTATGTCAGATATTTGCTAAATCAATATAAATTACTTGGAGAGCTCACTAGAGAGTCAAACGCTAGCATCATCACTATCAGTAAGCATTTTGGAGTCCAGTAAGACTTCGTAAAGGTCTGTCCGTAAATCAGGAAGTAATGCTTGTGCCATGTTAGTAGGGGTGTGCAAAAATATCGAAATATGGATATATCGTATTGTTTAATGTGTTGACACAGTATTGATATCGTGGGCTGCTGTATAGAGAATTTTTGGTATATTTTACAAAATTATTTTGTTACAGCGCTACAATTTTGTTGCTTGTTCAGTGGACAGAAACTCATGCGACACATTTAACATTTTCACTTTGATGGGTAAAATTTTTCATAAGAGAGCGGGAAGGAAAAAAAATTTATTCAGGTCAATGTGACCCTGAGGAGAGCGTGAGGGTTTTAATGAAACCCAGCTCTAGTTGTTAGCATGCTAGTTGTTACTGTGATGACAAACTCTTAGCACTTAGCAACAGCACTTATAAACTCATTGTGGGGAATAATTAGAATTCTAGGAATATCTTACTCAGCAAACTGTTTAAAATGAACAAGTTCTGTTCTTCACGTATTTGAGACAGTAAAAATCAGCACCATTAAAGACTGAAATTTAAAAAGCTATTAGAAGTAGTAATTCTAAATTTAAACCAGCTGACAACTGAGAAACACAAGCTAAAACACACAAACAGCAATTTTCAGGTACTATTAAAGCCATCTGCGTCTCTGCCTTGGCGTGACCAAACGACCAAACACATCATGACATGTCAATTTGTCACAGTCATTTTATTTTCATACTTAATGCTCAACATCTGGATTGCACATTACTCTGACATACAGTACATAGGGAATCACACTTCATCTAAGTATCAAATAAGGATACTCGGTTGCTACTGCTCAAAATACGCAGGCAATATCGAGTAAACAGCAAATCACATATCATGATCTTTACTGCAAAAATCAATGCCTAGAAACTTGACCTTTCTCACATGACCTGCTTAATTCATTGAGGATTCACAAGTGGATAGTCGCTGGAGGACCTCTTGCCAGGTCTCACAATCAACCCATACACAACCGTTGCGATGTCTTCTGCATATATTCATAGCGGTATTGCTCTCATGCAGTGGGTGATTTATGACTGCAAACTAAATAGCCATTGACACTTTATGCTTTTAGCCATCTCATTGACCCGGCTGGCGATTATTGATTCCCTATGGTTGCTTCTTCCTCCTTCTCTCAGCCTCTTGTCGGGCCATCCCTTCCTCTCTCTCTCTCCCTTGTGGCCTCCAGGGTCTTGGATGAATGGCCTTGTCTCTGCCACATCCATATCGCCGGCCTAATTAAGATGCCCACAGCTCACAGCAAAACAACTATCAGTGTTTTTCTATGCAGCTAAATGTCTAGTAAGGCAAAGTTTTATCCCCTATAGAACAACTGCAGACATTTCATTTAGTTTGATTGGATTAACTTTTAAAATATTATGCTGTTATCAGGTTAGATGTAGGAGGAAGTAATAAGTAGTCACGGCGCATACTCCCTGTGTTGGTCTTTTGAATATAAGCAAAATATGAAGTGATACTGTAATGTAAATTTGCAGATTTCTGTTAGATTACAAAAATATCTATAGTTATCAGGTTACTAAACAAAAAGGTGCACAATGTAACTTCTAAGGTGGAGGGTCACTTACTTGCTTGTCTCCATGGAGATGTTATTTCTTTGCCTGGAATGTTCCACAGTAGGGCATTGAACATATCTCCCATGTATTTGTTTGATTACAGATGTTCTATAGCTCAAAAATACCTTAAGAAATATGAATTCTTACAATTTGCAGGCTTGCTTCTCCATAGATCTGACCGTTAACCTGTCTCTATTGTGATTACGAAGTTTATTTCCATACTGTGGAATAATCAAGGCAAAAACAGTAATATCTCCATGGAGACAAGCAGAAAAGCGACACAATCCACCTTTAATTATCAATTGCTCATCCTTACCTATGTACTGTATATCCAAACTTAGTCGTATGAAGGTCAGGAAGAGCACCTCAAAGATCAAAAAACAGAATATTTTGTACAGCTCAAAATAATTTCTCATCATGTAAAACAAAAAGCATCTCCGTGTCTCACTAAATGATTTAATGACATTTTCTATTCAGACTGAAAAATACATTAGAGCTTGCTGAACCTTTCACATTCTACTTTGTACGCGCTCATTTACCCCTGTTAGTAATCATTGCTCAGGAAATATACCCCATTTTACCTAAGTAAGGCTTCCCCTGGGTCTGTAGTAGCGTTTTACAGAAGCCTCAGAAGTCATGTTGAGACAGAAAACACGAAGGTTAACTGGTGCCTTTCGTCCCATCATTAAAACATGTTGTGATCATTGCTCTTGTAGCTCATGTGTAATTGCTTGTGAAGGAGTGTAGCTGCTAATTTCACAGAGATATGGGGTAAACATGTTATGATAAGATGCTGACGTTTACTGTAATTGTGATGAATTCCCTGGCATCAATCCCAATTTTTCACCACAATAAACCAAGTTGAAAGGCGTATCTCAGCATAAAAGAGGAGGTGAATTTTGGTATTACTTAAAAAAAAGAAAGAAGAAAGACATTCCTTGGCTTTTGTTGCCCCGGGTCACAACCTCTGTCAAGTTATTTAACATTCTTCTATTATGTAATGCGCATACAATTTGAGCACAAGATGTACCCCAGATAAACACAAGCGTTTTAGTTTCAGACATATATTGCTTTGGAAATGTTTTCTTGTGCATGTCAGAATAGGTTACTGATTGTGGTTATTTTCTTCGCAGTGGGAAGAGGTCAGCGGCTACGACGATGCCATGAACCCCATCCGGACATACCAAGTGTGTAATGTACGTGAGCTCAACCAGAATAACTGGCTGCGGAGTGACTTCATCCCACGGAAGGATGTGCTGCGTGTGTATGTGGAGATGAAGTTCACTGTGCGTGACTGTAACAGCATTCCCAACATCCCCGGCTCCTGCAAAGAGACCTTCAACCTCTTTTATTATGAATCCGACTCAGATTCTGCCACTGCCACTAGCCCCTTTTGGATGGAAAACCCTTATGTCAAAGTGGACACGATAGCCCCAGACGAGAGCTTTACGATGCTTGAATCTGGTCGCGTGAACACTAAAGTCCGAAGTTTTGGACCGTTATCTAAAGCTGGCTTCTACTTGGCCTTCCAGGATCTTGGAGCTTGCATGTCCTTGATCTCGGTCAGGGTGTTTTACAAAAAGTGCTCCACCACTATTGCCAACTTTGCTGTTTTTCCGGAGACAGCGACGGGAGCAGAGGCCACTTCTCTGGTGATTGCTCCTGGTACTTGTGTTCCTAATGCCTTGGAGGTGTCTGTGCCACTCAAGCTCTACTGCAACGGAGACGGAGAGTGGATGGTGCCAGTCGGAGCGTGCACCTGCTCAGCTGGGTTTGAACCAGCCATGAAGGATACACAGTGTCAAGGTGAGTTTTATACACTAATTATCAGTGCAGTATTTTTGAGATTGTAAAAATATGTCATACGCTACAGCCTCTGTGCATATATTTTCTGTGGTTAAACAGCTTCTTCAAAGGTCCATTAAATTATCCAGTCACTCCCAAAATTACAGCTAACACACTCCATTTAGTTTATTATTTATTCTTTTCTTTCCTGTTGCGGTCTGTATGAATCTTTATAATATCCTAATAAAATAAATCATTGACTAATTAAATAAACGGAGACACTGTTGACGATTAATCGACAAGGGACTTACAGGTGCACTGCATAACATTCCTAGTGCGGTCTGTCACTTGTTTGTCTCCATGGAAACTTGCTGTGTCTCGAGTGTTTCACAGTATAAATTAAACTTATCTAACGCAAGGGAAGGAATTATTGTATTTTTGTGCAATAGAAACACCTGTAATGCATAAATGCTCGATGTATATGTTTAATATCACACCATGTAACTATTCCAGACAAAGCAATAACATCTCCATGGAGACAAGCAGGTGGCAGACCCTCCACCAGAAAAGTTATACAGTGCACCTTTAAGGACTACAGGCCTACATGGAGGAATAACTGTATGCAGCGTGACTCTGTTTTAGGCTTTTTGCCCTATCAATAATGTATCATGTTACAGCTAAGAAACTTGGATTTGCATTTTGCATGGACTTGACTGCAGAGAGAATTACAATGAGTCGTAAGTCATGCTGAAGGACACTTGATCTGGCCTGTAATTGGATGCATGCAAATTGTAAAAGCGTACTATTGTTTTGCTGAAATTCTCCATCGCAGGTTAATGTTAGTACCTCCTCTTCCAATCCACATCATCACAAACCGTTTAGTCGCCTTGTTTTCATTGACAAACTAATCCACGGACAACACGCTAAAATAATGTGTGACACTGGCAGCGCTCCTCTGACCCTAGTTTGTGCCTGGCATCTGGTACAGGTAAATAAATGGAAATGACAATACGGGCTGGTTTGTGTTTACGAGAGCCGCTGCTGGGAGGGACCATGGCGGTTTCAGGTTAGATGGGAAAACATGATGGGTTCACAGAGGTTGAGAGCAAGGTGAATTTAAACAGCAAGGTCTGGGCTTAAACGGGGTGCGGTGACAGGGAGGGGGTGGGGGCAGTGAGCGGGGTCAGGGGGGCGTAAAATTAGGCTCGGGGTGCAGATGGAACCAAGACAGGAGAGGGAGAGAGAGAGAGAGAGACTGGTGGAACTATTGATCGCCTGGATGGATTGCTCTGTAGGGGTGCATGAAATTAGAAAAGCACACAAAATCTAAAGATTATTTTGGAAATGTCAAAGATATCAATATGCCCTATTACCACTGCAGTTCAACAGTATTTTAGATGAAGAAATAGACAAACTTTATTGATCCACAAGGGAAATTATTTGGACACAGCAGCTCGCAATCAAAATATATTATAATAACAAAGAGCAAAAATATAAATGGTGATTAAAAAAAGGAGCAAAAATAGCGAGACAAATGAAAAAAGTATTAGTTGCTGCAACAATTATTCAGATGTGACTACTCAACAGCACAAGAATATTTTGTGATTTTTAATGTCATTTGATCCAAAATTTCAATGTAGGTATAGAAATAGTCACTTCACTTGTTGACTAATTGCTTACTCGTCAATTACATAATTAATTATCTTGAAATAAACTCGTAAAAGAATGAGTGAAATCATTCATCATTCGTTGCTATAGTTATAAATAGCCCATCACTTTTGTTAACCTGTTTTGAACACAAATTGTTTAAAGTTGCGCTCACAGGTCAAATGGCAGCTGGCCCCTTGCTAAGAGCAGGTTGTGTGTTTGGTGAAAGAGCACAGGTCCACAGCACACACAGTTGAAAAGTCATTTGTTTTGTTGTGACAGCTCAAGGTGAAAACCCTGGTGACCGCCGCCTGATAAAACCCACTCTAATCAAGGCTTCACTGGAACCACATAAGATAAATCCTCATAGTTCTTCTAGCACCAGGCTATAGGCCATTTATCTTGAAGAGGACATTTTTGTAATACACTAAAATCTAGTTTTAATATTACGATGGGTACAATTCACTCAATTTAATGTCTACACAGCTACGTAAGCGTCTGTGAATCTGTACATACGTTGTTTTGTGCAGTTATTTATAGAGATGTAATGATATGCACATCTCCTGGTCTCACGATATTCATTTACGATATTTATTGCGATATTGTGGAGATGCTAAAAGAATTGAAGAAATGCTACTTTTTCCTTTTAAAAAGCCTTGATGAGCCTTTGGTGCTATATTACTTTGATATTCCAAAGAATTAAGATAGAAGTTATTTTTAACAGCTATTTCTTCATACAGTCTGCAGTGTTTCTCATAGATTTCATTTAGATTGTGGAGACAGAAATACAAGTCTAGTAATAATTTTCTCTCATACTATTTGTGGAGTTTGAATCACGTATTGCCTGCATTTGATATTTTAGCAGTCGTTTTGTACAGTATAATTATGTTTTAAGCTTTGTATGGAGCAACAAAGTGAAATTTAGCTATGCCAATGTCTAGTCCGTGTTCTTTTAGACTATGGGGGAAAGGTTTAGACTATGCAGGCCCATCAGAGTCTCTTTGATTGATGGGAAACACTGAGTCTGAACAAAACAAAAGATCACACTCTTAAGTATTTCCCTCTGTTTTTTACCTGTTACTGCAATAAAACAATGCATGTAAGCTAAGAATCTTACAATCTGATATATTGTGACAGCCCATAATGTGATTGTGAGACAAGATCACGATATTTCAGTAATTTTACATCCCTAGCAATCTGGACTGAAAAGAATGCTTCATTTCATAATAAAAGCTGAATCAACTAATACTAATCATTTGGCACAGTGTGATACAGCCAGTTGACCTGATCTTAGTACAAGTAACACAATTTTTTTCTCATTTTATTCCCGTTTGTCCTTGTTTCGCATTCTGCCCCATCTCCACTATTCCTCTCCAATCCGCTCCCTTATGTCTCAAGGCTGTTGCTCTCATTAACACGCCACCACAGTTACAGTAAGGATTCCTGCATTAATATTAATTGTTCGGCCTGTTTTTTCCTACTTCTTACCCATCGCAGCGGCACATTTTTCGCCCCAATATTCTTTACTTTTCTCCATGCTCCACACTTTTCCAATTTGGGCATACATTCTAATCAGTTCCTTAAGCTCTATGTTCTGCTTGAGAGGATAAGACACAGGGGAGTGGGGAGGGGGGCCGGATTAGCATTTTCTGTGCCCCCACCTCTTCCACCTCTTCCACCTCTTCCTCCCACAACTGTAGACTCTTGTTTTCCTTTTTGCCCTCTCCATTTTTGGTGGTTTTTCTCTCGGGAAAAGAAAGAAAGCAGTAAAATGACCTGACCCTGTAAGAACCAATAATGTAATGAGCCGTAATGGTATACCTGCAGGTAACGCACAAATATACTTAGATGGAAAAATGTTTTTGCACATTCAGCTAAAGAAAATATATGCTTTTGGATAAATTACATTATAATTAGGGATAGACACAAAAAAAAAAGTTAAAGTTGCAGTGTGAAACTTTTTTGGTGGAGGGACAGTCATCTGCTTTTCTTTCCACAGTATGACATAACACTTATTCTCTAAGGAGACAACAGGTGACACCACAGGGTCAGGTTACATGTCAGATCTGTGGACAGGCGAGCCCTTCTAATAGTCATAGTCAAATAGTAGTAGTAAATAGTAAATATGTGTTGGCAACTCCACTTTGAAAGATTACAATGCCATTTTCTGTGTTTTTACTAGGGATGTAACAATAACTGAGATATCTTGATATTGTATCATCAATTTCTCACAATAATATCATAGCCCAGTACAATATATTGAATTACAAGTCTCTTTGCTTAAATTAAGAGTTATAGTGCATCAATAGCCACAAAAAGAAAGCGGGAACTACATAGACCATGATCCTTTGCTCTATTTCACTGCAGACTACAAGAAGAATTAACAGTTTTAAGCACTTTTAAGTCTTAGTTCTTTGGATTAAGTCTTGTCAAGGCTGTATTATTGTTATTGTTGAGCTTTTCCACAATATCACAATAAATATTGTAGAGTGAGGTTCATACCGTGACGATATCATATCATGAGACATGGATATCGTTACACCCCTAGAGTTTTTTATATGTGATAATATAATGATATTACAAAGTATTGGCCAGATCTAATGATCAAGGAATTGCATGTTGTCTTTTTTTTTTTTTAGCTAGAAGTGATTGACTGGCCCTCCACTGAAATAAACTGCTACTGTTTGGCCTAACAGTTTCTTCAATTCCTCCATTAAGGCTGCATGTAAAAAAAAAGACTTTATAGTTTACTCTGGTGACACGAACTCAAATGAACCCGTACATCTCGGTGGCAGAGAGGTCTGATTCTCCCACCTGCTAAAGACCAGAAGATTTCTTATCTGTTTATAAAGCCGTCCTTCCTGTTAGCCAGTGGTGTGGATGGTTCTGATTAATGGAACCAGAGCAAACAGTCTCTGCACTAATGTACACGTTGCTGTCAACCATGGCTCTAGTGCTAATATTGGACTTAGAAAAAATGAGAAAACAGCAGAAGCAAGAAGCCGTCTGCTGTGAATTTGACCTCCAACCTGTTTTAACCAGGGAGTATCTATCACTCAGGAGAACAAACATGGTGAAATGTGCTAGTAGGTCAACAAATCATGGATAGCTTTTGAAAAGTTTTCCATGCACACTTTGTACTTTTACTGCGGCTTTTATGAAGTGTCACTGTTTGCTTGCAATCTGCAACTTATCAGAAATGCAATAAAAACAATGCATCATTAACTGTAACAGAAAAAAAAAAACTGTAACAGACCTATCAATATTCAGGATCAGTCTATGCTAGAATTAAAGTCACTGTTTATACTTTGGCCGATTAGTCAAGTAATCGTCCTGTTGAGTCTTAATACACCAAATGCTTTAGTAGTTGACAAATATTTTGATTAGGATTACAGGGGTTTATATGGATAACAGTTGAAAGGAGAAAGCATGGAGTTGAGTTATAGTTTTGGGAGTGACTGAACAGTTTACTCCACCCTTTCTCTCATAAAGATACTATTTATAGTATATATCATTGTATACATTTGTTTTTTCGCTCAAGATCCTAAAAATTGTGGGAGATTTTGTCAGTGCCAAATCACACTTTTAGAATGTCTTTAGTCTGAAACCCTAGCTTGCATCTTGTTTAGTACTGTACATTCAATCGTAGGTTGATCATGAATTGGACATAAATGACATCTTTTTCATTATTCATTTGAATTCCACTGCAATTCTAACTGGGAACTATCCTGTGATGTAGGCCTATTGTGAGATATGGTTGTTTGGAAATAAATGAAAACATTTCTTTCTTTTATGTCCATAGATGCATGTATTTGTACCCTTTTTACACGAAGTCCTGTTCAGTAGTTGATTGGCAGGCCGTATGTTTATGTGTACATTTATCATTAAGCAGGAGCAGATGAAAGCTCCATGCCACAGTGGCGCCTCTATAGGCTGTGCTGATGATGTGGGCTGACAGTGGTTTCACATGAGCATTGGTTTATGCAAACAGCGACCGGCTGCTTTAAAGCTCTTTACTTGTGCACACAGTGCTCAGGCCATTAGTGAGGAGCACAGGGAGCATGTAGAGATAGAAAAACACATCATTTGCATGTGCATAGTTACCAGTTGTAGGCATAAGTTTTCACTATAAAAATGACCAATAAGCTCCACATTACCGTAAAAAATTCTGATATTTTTGAGAAGGAATTTGTGTGTGAATGCACAAAAAGACCAGGGCAGGGCAGATCTTGCAATCATCAAGATGTGATTATTTTTTATTACTTCATCATTTAGTTTGCATCTGAATGCTACAGTGGTTATGATGTTATAAAATATAATCATATAAAATGATCTTTTTGTTGTATTTCTCTAGCCTGCAGTCCTGGAACCTTCAAGTCCAAACAAGGGGATGGCTTCTGCCTCCCGTGCCCTGCCAACAGCCGAGCCACGTCAGGAGCAGCCAGCATCTGCTCCTGTCGGAACGGCTTCTACCGCTCCGACACAGATGCACCTGAGTCTGCCTGCACCAGTAAGTATCTGCTAAATGGTTTTCATACTAATCAATACAAAAGCATGTATCAAAGCTAGATGCTTACGTGAACAAGTATTGATACTGAAAAAAATTACATACATTTCTATTAGTGGCTACACCCTGGAACTCACTATATTATAGTAGATTTCTGCATTTTAGCAATATCAATTCTAGCTGCCCCATAACCGTATTAAATATTATTGGCCTGTTGAATAAGACAAAGCTTGACATTTCCACAATAGTTTTATATTGCCTTCACCTATATCAGAAACACCTTGTAATATTAAAATAGCATTATGTTATGATGGACACTGGAAAAGAAGGAGTTCTATTTACGAATATGGTATCAGAATCAGCATTGAGTAACAGGGCTTTTTCTGAGTTTGTAATTTTTGCATTATGACACTACATTGTGTTCATATTCACTTCTTCTTCAGAATGGTCTCTTCTAACTACTCGGCCTGTGTCAACACTGGCTGCTGTAAAAATTAACTCCTACTGTAAACCATGTCCGCCCAGACTTCCCTCTTTGAATTGTAGCTGCTATAGCTTTTTATCAGTCTACAGGGGTTTGTTCCCACCACACTGCAGAGATAGCAAACAAATCTGCCAGCTTTCCCAGCCTTATCCTTACAACCTTATCAACCTATACCCCTTCTCCCCAACTGCCAGAAAGGCTATCTCCTGTTAATTCAACCATCCTTTCTGCAGAACAATTTTGGGCCCTGCTACTTTTACATTTTTCGCAATTGCAGAAATGTTATTGAATCTTTGAGTAGAGATTTTTTCAGTAGCTGGGAGAGAGTCAGGTTATCCCACTGTGCAGAGTGAGATAAGGCAGTTTTAATTGGATAAGACTTAGCAGAGCTCTGCTGCTATATTGTCACTTTCTGAACACAATGCTATTCAAATTTGAACTCCTGTACTCATCTGGAAAGCTGAAAAGTAAAGGCATAAAAGACGTATTAGTGGAAGATTTCTTGTATTATGTTGATAGCCGTACACTGAATGCACAGATAATCAAATGTAAATATGTCCTGTTATTATGCTGTATTTATTTCCACCTATGGCACAAGACAATTCTATTCAATCAGTAGTGGAACGTAATAAGTAAAAGTATACATTTTAAGTATCTGTACTTTACTTAAGTAGACTTAAAAGTGGTCACTTTTTACTTTTACGTCACTAAATCTGAGAGCAGGTATCTGTATTTTCTGCTCCACTAGATTTTTTTGTTTGAGACTTACTGAAAAGTCTGAGGGTTTATTTTTAACACTTTCAAAATGTGAGCAAAGACAAATGTAACATCAATAAACAAATGAAAACAGCTAAATCAAAAGATTCAACTGTTTTTTTCTGAACAAAATTCAGCACAATTCTTTATCAAAATCACTACATTTGAAGCTTTATTAGATCTCAAAATCTGTGCGAATACTTTTTTATTCTTTTAAGTACATTTTTAAGTGGGTATTTATTTATTTTTTGCTTGTTTCTATGGATATGTCTTTGTTCTGCCTGGAATGTTCCACAGTGTGACATAAAACAGCTCTACCTTACATTTATCTTTTATTCTTCTATTAAATTACAGCTCCAAAATACCTAGACCTAAAATACTTAACATACATTCCGACTGTGAGCAAGTTTGCCTTTACTGAGATCTGACCTGTAACTTGGTCTGGTTTGGTCTCCATGAAGATAGACAGGCTTAATGTTCTACATGAAACATTCCAGACAAAGCAATAACATCTCCATGGAGGGAAGTATTTGATGAACTCTCCACCAGGAAAGTTACACAATGTACTACTATTTGGAGATACTTTTACTTTTACTTGAGTATTTCTTTGCTCTGTACATTTACTCAAATAATACAATTGAGTACTTATTCCACCACTGCATTCAATCTTCCTTCTATTTCAGCTGTTCCCTCCCAGCCACGCAGTGTCATCTCCAGTGTCAATGAGACCTCCCTGGTGTTGGAATGGAGCGAGCCTCGTGATATGGGCGGACGCGATGACATTTTCTACAATATCATCTGTAAGAAATGCCTTCCGGAGCGGGGCATGTGCACCCGCTGTGACGACAATGTGGACATCTCTCCTCGCCATCTCGGACTCACCCAGCGCCGCGTGACTGTACGGAACCTCCAGGCTCACACGCAGTACAGCTTTGAGATCCAGGCCGTCAATGGGGTGTCCAGCAAGAGTCCCTACACACCACAGTTCTCCGCAGTTAACATCACTACAAATCAGGCTGGTAAGACAATGCTGCAAACAGGCACAAGACTATCAAGGACATATATGTTTCTTAAACATCCTATATTACACGAAATGGATTCTTGTGAGCATTAAGCCATGTTGTAAGGCCTCAAAAACATACCTGGAGTTGTGTTTTGTTTCATTCACACATATTTGAGTAATCCTTTTATTGGTCTGTGTAGATCTCCTAAGCTCAAAATGCTCTGTTCCACCTTGTGATGTCATTAAGCAGTAGTTTTAGTGATCAGCTACCTTTTCCCTTTAGTTCAGAAGAGATTGGCAATTCTAAGACTGAAATCATCTGAATGATTCTAATGAAGGTGTATGGAGTTTAAAAACACAGTGGAGCACTACCATGACATCACAAGGTGGAACAGAGTGTTTTTTGTTTAAGAGAAGAACTCAGCCTAAACATGCAGGGTTAGTGTGTTAAACGTGTGTGAATGAAACAAAAAACTCCAGGCATGTTTCTGATAAGACAACAACATTATAACATAGATCAGGAAATAGTGTAATGGGCCCTTTAAGAAGCAGTGATCATTCTTTAGTGTGTGTGGGAGTATGGTATATTTTTCATTGAACGTGGATCAGGAAAAATCTTCTGAATGAGCTCAGGAGGGGGCCTTTTTTTCGCACGCCTACATTTCGCCTCTGTATTAACACAATACTGCAAATAGCAATTGTTACTGAAGCTTTGCATATTGGAAGCCTCCTGGAGCTGCCCACTTACTGCAACCCACCAGCTACTGTGGTAACGAGGCCATTCAAGATAAAAATGCAATTCAAGTGTTGTGTTGTGCTGGTCCAACAAAAATATATCACTAAGTTGTTTTTCTAGTATTTTGTGTATTTAAAATAGACATATAGTGGTTTGCAAATTGTTTAAAGGCCCTATATTGCAGTATTTTCTGATCTACAGTATGTTCTAATGATGTTTCCCTATCAAAAACTGAAAGCCTGCATAGTTCTTTCAAAGAGAAAACACTCTGTTCCACCTTGTGATGTCACCTGGTAATATAGGAAGTGTCCCATTGTGCTTTTAAACTCCATACCCCTTTACTAGAATCATTTTGATCATTTCAGCCCTGGAATTTGCCAATCTCTACTGAACTAAAGGTCAAATGTAACTGTTAATTTGAGAACTACCACTTTGTGACATCACAAGTTGGAACAGAGCAGTTTCAGCTTTGAAGATGTAGACAGATTAATAATAAAGGATTACTCAAACATGTGGAAATGAAAAAAAAAAAATCAAACAAAAGGCTTAAAGCTAGCAATTTTGTATAATGCAGGACTTTTTATTTTCATTGGACTAGCCAGGATTTGACGGCAACATAAAGTAAGATCAAATAGACATTAACCAACTATTTAAAATAACTTTGTACAAGCCACAGCACAGAAAATATGTTTTTTATTATGATAATGGAATGCGTGATAATCTCAGGCCCTCAAGTGTAAATGAAATAAAGAGGCATTATTCTGAATGTAAAAACTTGAGCATATGCACTTATCAGTCACAGTTATCATTTTTATGAGCAGAAAATACAGCAGCATAATGCTAATATTTTAATGAATGAAAACAATACTGAAACACTCTTAGGCTCATAAACTTTGCAGTGATGTTTAACCCACTTAAAGAAACAGCTTTGTTCTTTTGAGGTGGTTACCCAGGTTTTCTTACATTGTGATGGATGTGTTTGGTCACTAAGTTAAATTTGCTCTTGGGCCTGCCCCACACACACCCAGGATTATCTAGAGCACCAACCCCCATCATCTCTCTTGTTTCCTCACGGCCCAGTCCGCCTCACCTTTAGCCTCTCTGTCTTCTGCTTCTTTCAAACGCCTTCTGTTGGGACCATAGACCCTCAGTGGACAGAGAGGGGCTGCAAGCTTTTGTGTTACACATGGTTTAGCAGTGGGTTGACAACAAGAGATATGTGGTCATTTAGTTATCGCTCGACTAGTCTGATCAGGACTGAGGACAGAGTGCTGCTAGACGCCTCCCTCTCCCCTAATTTTAGTAATAGTTTTGATCTGTTTTCCTGATTGAAACTGGGCAGGAACTTAAAACAACACTGTGTAGTTTTTGGAGGGAGCACCTGCATGATTTCATGGAAATAGTTATATCCAGGAACATTCTCCATGGGGACAGATACATTTTATGCCATACTACATATTACAGCCAGGAACATTTCCATGGAGACAAGCAGCTTGCCTGCAGTGTCTTTTTTCTTTGTTTTTCAGTGCAATAAAAATATCAAAAATGTAAAAAAGCTTTTATTGAAAACTATTTTTGGCTAAAAAGTTACACAATGGGCATCTTGGCTTAGACCTTGATGGATCTAAGCCAAGATGCTTGGGGAGACATGGTTGCATTTTCAGTTGATGTCGTCCAGTTCTAAACCATATTTTATCTCTTGTATTAGCTATGTTAGTAGGATTTAGTCTCATTTTAGCCAGTTAAAACCTAAAGAGACAGATTTTTGGGGTGGTACCTGGTGTGAAAATCTTGGAATTACTATGAGAGGTCAGAGCAAAACCAGCAGTGGGAAGAAGGGGCCAAGAGAGCATCAGCTGTGATCAGATTATCCCTGTGATTGTAGTCTGCAGACCATCTCGGACATGCAAACTCACCTTTTAAGAAGCAAAATAAATACTATGGGGGTGATAAGCTTCAAGGCCCACCTACCACAGTTAACACAAGTTCTTGTCCCTGCGGAGGACCCCCCTAATCCCACGGCTCGGGTAACCAGGGGATTTGCCCAGGAAGCATTGTCTAGTGGAGGAGAATGAGGGTGCAGAGAAGAGAAGGCAGAGACATAGAGGGATGCCTAGCCACAAACTTAAGCAGCGAGGAGGCAGAGAAAGGAAACGCAAAGGGAGGATCAAAAGAACAGAAAAAGTAGGGATTAAAAAGCTTTTAACAAAACTAGTGAGAGTGAGAGAGGAGAGGAGGAGGGGAGACGGAGGGAGCCGGAGGAGATGGAAGTCTTGAGGACAGAGCTGACTTTAAAGGGAATCCGAACATTAGATAGGGAGATAGGGAGAGTTAATATTGTACCAGTGGACAATTATAGTTAAGAAATGGACCTCATGTTGTGAGCAAACGCGACCTTCAAACCAGTGCTATTAAAATTTTTACTTTTATATGTATTACTACTACTCACTGTCCTACTACTTCTGCCGCTACCACTTTCATTATGACTTTGTACTACTCTCTGTAACAATACAACTATTACTTTTAAATTCAAATCTCAAAAGTAATGTTCCTCTAAAATGTAACACAGTTGAAATAAAATATATTAGGAACCTGATGAAGTTATTAAAATAAAAATATCCTCTTCAACCAGTGCTGTGGCAGGTAAAACAGTAGAGCAAAAGTGAGCAAGTCTTAAAATCTTGGCTTGTTGAACAGACTTAGGCCTTGGATTGTTTGCCCAAAGATTATAACCTCTACCTGTACTTATTGTACATCATATAAACACGGTATACCCAAAAATGCGTACACTTCCTTCTTTTCCTTCATAGTGGTTGTACTAATTCCTGTCTTAAATCTTACGCCATACACAACGGTACAAAATTGAACCTCCCTACTTTTCTATGTGTGTGGTATAGCCCGCAGCTGGTATAGTATAAAACTCAATGTACCGGAGATTGTTTATCACTTTTGCCGTTCTTTCTGATGTCGCCGGAGAATTACTGGTCCCTCCTGCCTCCCCAAGGACTCCGGGAGGGGACAGTCTGCGCATTAGTGAGGAGTGGTGGTGCATACTAACTACCGGACATACTTCCTTTCAAAGTCTTTTTCAAAAACTGGATTTGGGCTTGTATGCATATAGACAATGGCCGTAGAATATGAATAGACACGCCATGGGAAATACATCTAACCCAATGTTGTGTTTTGTCCCGTGCAGCGCCTTCTGCTGTACCCACAGTTCACCTGATGGCGGCCACGGCGAGCACCATGAGTTTGTCCTGGTTGCCCCCGGAAAAGCCCAACGGAATAATTCTCGACTATGAGATTAAGTACCATGAAAAGGTAAGATGCGGTGTTGGTTAATTTGATCTAGCTCATTTAGTCTGGTCTTTTGTTTTATTTATGTTGTTCTGACTGTGGGGAAACAATGCCTCCGCTGATAAACCCAAAATTCCAGGCATTTTTCTTCTTGTGCTCCTGTGTGATCGCATTCCCCTAATTAGCTTTTCCGCTACCCTATCTGCCTTAGCTGTTTTATGTTTTCATTATCCATTGTCCATTGATAATGCTACCTTTGTTTCTACTTCTTATCCTCACTGCGGCTCAGTCCATGCCTTAGGAAGTAAAGCTTGATTTTAGGTACTGTGGAAAAGAACTAAAGTAGACTTAATAACAACTAATAATTTTGGATATTTGCCTTGACATAGTTCACTTCGACTAAAGGTGCAATGTGTAACTTTTTTGGTGAAGCGTCCGTCACCTGCTTGTCCCCGTAGAGATGTGTTGGCAAAGAGTAAGGCATTAAAATGATTTATCTTCACGGAGACGAGCAAGTAATGTCACCAGGTCAAGTTAGAGGTCAGATCTGTGGAGAGGCAAGCTCACGAACAGTATTGGATGCATTTTTGAGAAGAAGAAAAATAATTGTTGTAATTGAAGGGCTGCAGAAAAGCCACAGACCCTCCACCAGAAAAGTTACATAGTGCACTGTTAAAAAAGTGCACATTTCAATAGTTTACAAAAAATTCAATGCACTAAAAGTTTTCACTGGAGATCTATTAGCAATTAACAAGATCTAATGTTTTACTTTCTCTCTCTCGTCTTTTATAGGATCAAGGAGAGGCGATCGCTCACACCATGACCGCCCAAAGAAGCAGCGCACGTATAGAAGGCCTCAAAGCGGGTACTCCCTATGTAGTCCAAGTCCGAGCTCGCACTGTGGCAGGCTACGGCCGGTACAGCAGCCCAGCAGACTTCAGCACTAACCTCCAAAGTATGCATTATTTATACATGGATATTTGGGATCTGCAAAGAAGCACTTTTGACCCAAAGCAGTGCCTTTAATCATAAACCAGTCTGCCCCCCAAAAGGTTAAGAAAATATTCGGTTCGCTCATTATCTCCAGTCATTACTATGCAATGACGTCTTATGAAGTGCATTATTTAAGAGCAGATATCTGTCAATTCATTTTAAAATTGATGAGAACTCAGATATGGAAATTCAGTAATGATTTCAATTATGCAAGTATATGTGAAGTAGGCAGTCAGGCATTAAAAAAACATGGCAGTTTTGGGCAGAAAGTTCTTTTACTTCTACTCAAATACACAAGAGGAATACCAACTATTCTTCAAATGTATTAAGTAACAGCAGTATTATTAAATCTAGGTATTTGTATTCCACTTTTCCAGTATTTTTTATTCAGTTGGATTTTTTTTTCTTCTTTTCAGCTGATCCACCTAAGACTTGGCAAGAGCTATGGCCACTCATTGTTGGATCAATCACTGCTACCTTTGTATTTATCATTGCTGTAGTGGTCATTGCCATTGTCTGCCTCAGGTAAGAAACACATCTACACATCTACACAAACCGCTTTAATTAGGCTGCTAGAACTAAGCAAAACATAATATATCTATCTGTATAAATGTCATTGTCAGCTGTACTCCAATCACGCTACGAAACCTTTTAGTGGGTTCTTGCGATGTCCTTTGTGAATCCTCTGAATAGCAGATTAGCTCTAAGAATCTGTGAATAGCTGTCATCCTTGGCCAAAATAGTTAGTCATTGCAGAGCGGACACAGCATGGAGGAGCAGATGTTTGGGCCTGATAGACTCGCCCTCGTGTCCCTGTGCTCGCAATCAACTGTTTCCCAACCACAATGAGCCCAGATGCTGCCCTGTCCACTGCTCTATTGACAGAAAATACAACTCCAAAAATTGACATTGCATCAGCTAATAACTTCTTTCCTATACCCCTCGTTTGTGTGTGTGTTTGTGTCTGTGACTACCTTGTGCGTATACAATAGTACCCATTGGGTCCTCTCCAAACGCCCGTGCAGACAGTGTGGCTGACAGGCGTGGACTGTGTTCATGCTACACTGAATAATAATTTCCGTCTCTTCCCTTACATTACTTGTGTCTGTCGGAGGGTGTTAGCACGGCCCCTATCCTCTTCAGGACTACCATAGACGAATAGTAATAACACGAAACACAGAATCGGCATATTTTTACAGAAACTAAATTAGAATTTGAAATGAGATGCTAATGCACCGGCGGGTATTATTGCCCTGGATAGTGGTTAGACAACAAAGCAACGCATTAACATGTCATTTCTACAACCCGCCCCCATATCACTGTTGCTGCACTCTTGCCCAGTTCATATGCAAGAATGACAAATTAGATGCATTATTGTACTGAATGGAATCAAAACTGTATTGAAACTTTGAAAACTGCTTATTTAACCTTTTAGAGAGTTTTATGTCTCCAAATGGCTTTTACTTCATTATTTTACTTGAATTCTTCTTAGAAATCTTCAGACAATGGTAGAGCTTATTATCCTCCCATGCAAAACTGCCATTGTGTTCCATTGTACACTGCAGAAATTAGCCTTCACTTGTGTTTTTGCACCGTGCTGTGTCGAGTCAAAATCACTCATTTTGTGTTTCCAAACGTCTCAACAGGAAGCAGAGGAATGGCTCAGAGTCAGAGTACACTGAGAAACTGCAGCAATACAGTAAGTCTCTGAGCTGAAACGTGCTGTTTGTAAACAGCAACTCTTTGCACGCATGTTTTTACTCATGTGCATTTGACTAATTATGCATTAACCACGGCAATGTAGAGGTGGAAGATAACAGAATTAATCATCAAAATAATTGAAAGGTTACTTGGCTAAAACCTCTTCTTCTTATCTCTAACCTCAATACTAATGATACTATTACTTTTGCTGCTGATACTGCTTTTAGTGCCGTACTACTAAACCCTCGCTACTACCACAGTGATACAGTAACTGACGTGTGAGTACCATGTTGCCTTCCACCTCTGACATTGTGCCTGATGATAACTGTATGCAAATGTCGCTGCAGAATGTTAACTGGGATGTATATCTGGTGTTAGATCATCAAGTTTTGTCTGGCCGCATCGATTCACTTTCCCCAATTCTCGCTACTGAATCCCCCATAGTAACGCCGGGCATGAAAGTCTACATCGACCCCTTCACCTACGAGGACCCCAACGAGGCGGTGCGCGAGTTTGCCAAGGAGATCGATGTTTCCTGCGTGAAGATCGAGGAGGTCATCGGCGCAGGTAACCCACCCAAGCTCCTGAGCTACAGGGGGAAGGCTGCTAGTCACCTCCAGGCCATTCCGTTAGAGGACTTCACACCAAGCGGTACTTTGATTCAATTCATCGCTAGCTCATCTCGCCCCTTCCTCTATACCTTCACCTGTCACCTGCTAAGACTCCCCAGATAGACACTGTCATGTGGTTAGTGTGCTAGATGTGTAGTCTTTGAGGTAGCCTGATTTGCCCAGTTGTAGCATCCCTTTGATACTATGCATTGTGCATAGTATGTAGTACTTTTCCTTATGTGTGGAACATTTGTTTTTACATCTGTCCCTAAAAAAAGAGTCCAGTCCTGGAACGAGATGCATGATAAGCAATTGCAGTCAATTTACAGTGATTTTTGAGTTACATTTAGATCACACTGAACCAATTCTTAACAAATCTTAACAAACTAAAAAGATTTCAAGTTGACTGAATCCATAGCATATACTATTTGTTTGTCTTCTAAAAATCAGAACATACTGTGCACTGAATACAGGGTCATGTGACATAAGGACGATAGCCAACACTGTGGGTAAAGTGTACTGGATGATGTTCATGGATGTTCTCCAAAGATATGGAAGTATTCATGAACACACAGCCCAGTGCAATCATGTTTCAATAAACACATCATCAGTCTGGGCCCATCACATGCACACTCTTCCAGGATTGGCTGACTCTGTTCTCACCCACAAAGTAGTGAATGAAAAACATGGGAACACTTTTATTTTGTGCACAATGTGGGTGTGTCCCTTTTTAAAGTAACTTTGATGATGTAGTCATTGATTTATTTTTTGTATACTATGTTAAATACATTACATTATTACTAAGTAATATTTCTGCTCATAAGCTGCAGGAAAGGTCACGTTGAGTTAGAATTGTATCTGAGGCCATTGTGAAGGCAGAGATGGGAGAACCCTGCTACTACTTCTGCTACTACCAATACTTCTGCTACTGCTACTACTTCTACTGCGACAAGCTACTACCTCTTCTTCTGCTGAGGCTACTACTTCTTGAAAAACCCGTCGCTTCCCAGCATTCGCCTTAAAAAGTGACAAGTCCTCAACCCTTTCCTCCCTCTTGTCCCTCCTTCCTCTGCTCTGCCCCTCCCTCAATCAATCCATCCATTATTCCACCCATTATCACTCCATCACAACTTTCATATCCATAACGTCACCATTTCTCCTTCTTCTCATGTTTTTGGCACACGCTTGGTTGTAGACTCTCAACGCAAAATGTCCTCTTCGACTCCCAAGCTGCTCTCTCCACCTCTTTCCTCTTCATGCGCTCGCTACACAAGCCAGTCTGAAGCTTAGGCCATCCATCCCCCATTTCCCCTTTCTTCCTTTATTTAACATTATTTGTATTAGTATTTTCCACACTTTTGCCACGCTCCCACCTGCCATCATTACGCTTCATGCCAGTTGTTTTACATTATTTAATCATAGCCTAACAGCACCCAAAGTTTGTCCCCATGCTAGCACCCATCATCCTGTTGACAGTGGCCTGGGCTTAATTGCAGTCCTTCCTCTACCCCTTTTGAAAGTCACCCCACCTTTTGCTAGCCCGTCCCTTGCTCCTTGGTTCTAACCAGTTAACTGTCCCCTCTCTTCCCCCACTCTCCTCCACTTTTTTCCCTCATGGCCTCTCTCCCCTCTCCCTCTCTTTGTCTCTGTCTGTCTGTCCATCGCTCCTCTGCCTGTCCCACATGGGCTGTATCACAGGGGAGTTTGGAGAGGTGTGCCGCGGTCGCCTCAAGTTACCGGGGCGGAGGGAAATCATCGTAGCCATCAAGACTCTGAAAGTTGGCTACACTGACCGGCAGAGGAGAGACTTTCTGTCCGAAGCCTCCATCATGGGACAGTTTGATCACCCCAATATAATCCGCTTGGAGGGAGTAGTCACCAAGAGCAGGCCGGTGATGATCGTCACAGAGTTTATGGAAAATGGAGCGCTCGACTCATTCTTAAGGGTAAGTTTGTGGTTAAAACCAAAAACAAAAAAAAACAAGCGTTATTGCAAATTATGTATTATGTTTAGAATTTACTTTTCTTCAGTGCATGAGTAATTTCATTACACATGTGACTAAAGTTTTTTTGTTGAATGTCTCTCCATACTCTTTAGCTCAATTTCAAGATTCTTGACTGTTCACTGTTTGATAGAGAAGTGGCCAAAAACACAGCAAAACTTTAGATTACAATTTACCAAAAAAAAAAACTATAAGAAACCATGGATACATTAAACATTTGATGTGTTCTACAGTTTATGTGCTTTCAGCAGAACAATGTTATGGCTATATCATGGATTAAATGATTACATGTCTTGTTGTTAACTCTGTAATGTGGTATTACTGAGCAATATGAATGATTTGTTACACCACAATAAAAAGTAGTCCATGTTACAAATCCTTAAAGTGTTTTTCTTCCGTTTGCAGTTGAACGATGGTCAGTTCACTGTGATCCAGCTGGTGGGCATGCTGCGTGGCATTGCAGCGGGCATGAAGTACCTGTCAGATATGAACTACGTACACAGAGACCTGGCTGCACGCAATATCCTGGTCAACAGTAACCTGGTGTGTAAGGTGTCCGACTTTGGCCTGTCACGCTTCCTGGAGGACGACCCTACGGACCCCACATACACGAGCTCACTGGTGAGTCCAGGGCAAGACTGTGGATGCTAACAAGTGTTTTATCAGAGACAGGTAAAATACTGGGTAACACTACACTTTAATTACCCTTAATTAAATATAAACGTAGACTCAATTCATATTGAACAAAAAGTGAATTAAGAATGATAATATAGGCTTAGTAACTATTTGATTAAGACCCTAACTTCTAACCATGACCCCTTAATTAAAATGCTACTAAGTCTGACTCACTCTTAATGAACCATTTGTTCGTTATGATTTAAGTCTTTGTTCATTCAAGACTAAATACTAAAATAAAATTCCACTGAATAGTAAAAGTACTGAAGAAATTCTACTCATGTACAGTACACACAAAAGTACTTGCTGCTATTGCAACTGCCATGGCTCTTATCCTCCTCAAAAAGCTTTCAGCTTTAGATTTTATGAGTGTAATCTCCAAGTAGTTCTCTAGTTTGAAATTGCTACTTTCTACCTCTGCTCTGTTAACTCCTGTAAATGTGTAGAAGAAACTATCTTCCAGTCATGGTATCCCTATAAGAATACCATGTGTACCAGTGTATATACTGTGTAACGCTAAGCTGTATAGTCCATATATTTGTCCATATGCTCATACCATGTTTTGTACTAACCTTGTGAGTGGACCCTTGTGTTTCCTTGACTCACCCTCTCTCTTCCCTCTCGTGTGTGTATGTGATCTGTGTCCGTGCTCCATCCCTCCAGTATTTCATGCTCACCTACTCATTCGCATATCCACAGGGAGGCAAAATCCCCATCCGCTGGACCGCCCCCGAGGCCATCGCCTACAGGAAGTTCACTTCCGCCAGTGATGTGTGGAGCTACGGCATCGTCATGTGGGAAGTCATGTCCTATGGCGAGCGGCCATACTGGGACATGAGCAATCAGGATGTAAGTGCCATGTACCATTTGTTTATCTATAAAATTAAAGATGCACTTTTCTGGTGAGGAGTGTGCCACCTGCTTCTGTCCACGGAGCTGTTTTGGTTGTTGAAAAATACCTTGAATAATCTGCATTCTTTAGGGTGTCCTCTTCACAGTAAGAACCAAGATGATAGATAAGTTTAATGTCATACTGTTGAGCATTCCAGGGAAGACAAGCAGGTGGCATGCCCTCCATCAGAAAAGATACGGTGCACTTAACAATAACTACAGCATTTAGAAGAGTGAATTTGGTTTGACTGTTTGACTAGCTTTCGTGCTTGGCTGGGATTGTTTTACTTCAAAATATTCCTAACTGTAGAGTTTTCTAGTTGAGGAAGGAAATTGCATTTTAAAAAAACACAACACAAAAGACTTACCCTGGCCTGCTGCCATTTCGCTTGAAGAAAAAAAAAAAAAATTGAGATCAGTCTGGTCTCTGCCCTCAGTCATGTCTAAGTAATTACATCTAAACTAATAAAAATAAAAATAAAAAACATTCTGAAGTTTTATCACCCTGAAATTTACAGCTAAACAAAAAGTTTACTCACTTTTTTATATAACCTGTTCCGTTGTACTTTATTTTCTGTACAGTCTCGTCCTTGTCCCTACTATTTCTAGCCAGGCAAATTGATTGTGATTCCTGTCCTCCCTCCCAGGTGATAAATGCAGTGGAGCAGGACTATCGACTGCCTCCTCCTATGGACTGTCCCACAGCTCTGCACCAGCTCATGTTGGACTGCTGGGTCAAAGAGAGGAACCTACGACCCAAGTTCACCCAGATCGTGGCCACACTGGACAAACTCATTCGCAACGCGGCCAGCCTCAAAGTGGTCACCAACAGCACACAATCCACTGGGTAAGTTTGCTACATTCTTATAGAGCCAGATATAGACCATGAAATATATAGCGTGACAAATGGAGCACTCTGAGTTTAATTAGACTCAGCAGTTTAAAACTCCAAGCGCGGCGTTGTTTATCCTGTTGAGATGTGAGATAGAAAACAACATTAAGTGCTATTATATCCAATTACAATAAATGCGGTATAAATTGTAATGTCTAGACACTTAAAGCATCTTCCAAACAATGTGGGATTTCTTGTTCCGCATTGGTCAGTATCTATCAAAAGTGATCCAAGGAAAAACTGTGGTAAATCAGGAACAGTGACACACTTGAAGAGATATTATAGACTGTAGTCCATTTGCAATGCAAGTTAAAGGTGCATTGTGTGATTTTTCCACTAGCTGCTTGTCTCCATAAAGATGTTATTGCTTTTATTTAGAATGTTCCATGGTATAGCATTAAATTTGTTCACACCAGGGGGTAGACGAGCAGGTTACATCACTAGACTACACTACAAGTCAGATCTGTGGAAATGCAACCACAATCACAGATGGAGTTTGTGTATTTCTGAGCAGTAGAAGCACCCTAATGAATAAATGCTGGATAGATATATTTAAAGCCATACTGTGGAACATTCCAGGCAAAGCAATAACATCTCCATGGAGACAAGCATGTGGCAGATTCTCCACTACAAAAACTGTGCAAGTCTGTTGTAATTAGGGGTATTCTCTTTCTCAATGGTGATCAAAAATTTCAATGTAAGGTCATTAGTTCTCAGCATTATGGCTCCAAACTTTACGTTTTGCCCTTCTACCATTCTTTTCAAACTTAAACTTAGCCTGAACTAGGAAAATGGAGAAGTTGTAGACTGAATTAGAGGCAGTTGACCTACCTACCCATCATGCCACCCGGGTCTTGGTGTCTTAGGGGAGGGCTCCAGACAATCCTGGCACAGGCTCGAGAGGAAAGCCGGGGTCTCGGTTGGCTGCCGGAGTGACGTTCTTGGAAGATTAGGCTTGCAGTTAATTAGTTCGATTAAGGCGATGCAAAAAAGAGATGGTGGCGCCTTTTAATTAGCCTCTAACAAGATTTTAAACGGGCCAGCAGAGAGATGGCCTCCTGCTGAAAGGCCCTGGCTGCTATTGGACGTCTACATGCATAGAATACACAGATTATTAGGGCACTTTGAAAGGTACACAATTTAGGCAGAAGCAAGCATTTACTTTTGCCGTTGATCTTCATAAGTTCCTGATTTATTTGAGATGTGTAGGTCTTGTGGCTTGTAGCGTTTGCACAATAGCTGGACTCTTTCTATAGTTTAAAGTTCCATAATGTCATTTTTCTCCTTGGTAATGGTTGAATTCTAGTCTGTGTAGCTTCTTTTAATTACAGTTGTTTTTATTGCTCAAAAATACACCCGTTTGGAGTCTGTTCTCCACTGATCTGACTTCTCTCTGTGGAAATAGATAAGTTTATTGCTCTACTGTTGAACATTCCATGCAAAACAATAACATCACTATGGAGACAAACAGGCAGGCCCTCCTCAAAAAAAGTTACACAGTGCACCTTTATGTAAAGATGAGGACATGAAATAATTATTGGCAGATGTATACGGAAAGATTTTGAAATGACTGAATTGAATTCTGTCTTCACTACAATGCTTTCTTTAGTCCTGCTGTGGTTTTGTCTGTTGCTTGCTAGAATAACAAATGTATCAAATATATACCATAAGTCAGAGTTACTTATACAACAATATGCATGCTCCTCCTAGACTATTCTCACAATTTTCTCTAAAAGCTCTTGACCTTGAGTCCCTGTACATGTGCTCCCCTCCCCGTTCTGCTGCTCCAGGCTCACATGTGGCCAGCAACTGTCTGGACTCTTTTGAAGTGTGCTTTATAGAAAGATGCCTAACAATGCTCCATTAAGAAAAGCCAGAGTTGTGCGTTAACTACAGCCCGGGGGCCAGGGTCTCCCCAGCGCAGCCCTTATTAAAAATCACTCCATCTACACCACTCAATGGAGCCTCTGTATCACTCTTATTAAACTAAGGGCTCTTTTTTGGACTATTCTTTTTTCTCCTGGTCTTTCTCTTTAAATTGTTAATGAATCTAATGCCATCAAAAAGGATGACAGGATCAGCAGAGCACAGCAGAGAGACAGTGCAGCTCTTTCTCTTCCCTGGTTCAGTAGACACCTCCGGGTCACCCTCATGCCTCCATATGCGCTTCGCCCACTCTGTTTTGCTCCATAGCGTGCAACCCAGACTTATTAAAACTTGCACGGTGGCCTCGCTATCTGCAGCCTTGATCAAAGTAGATTTTATGGAAAGGTCTTTTAGGCTTGTCAACAGGTGTACAAAAAAATGCCACTTTAAAATAGTGATAATGGTTTTACGTTGTGCATGCAGTTAAATTTAAATGCACTAACCCATCGCATAAATCACAGTGTGGACATTGAAGCACTCTGCCCATTTGTTGCTATCATTCTCTGGTCTGGTCGCTGAGTCAACATTTTTCCCACACATAAGGCAGCCACACGCAGACATCTGTGTTTACATAGCACAGACATTTCACATTTTGATGAAGCGGTTGCCAAATGTTGTTCCATTTAGATGAAAATGTGATGTATAAATCATTTTGTCTCATTATTATGATCTAAACGGGAGACATTACTGTACATTTCATTGGTGTTTGGTGAGAATTGAATGTGAAATTTAAAACTGCCCATCTGTATGAAATGAATGAATACCTCCACGCCAAGCCTCCAGCCAGTCCCCACAGTGACCCCCGCCCACCCTGCCCTGCCCCCTGCACACAGCTCCTTACATAGGGAGACCAGAGGAGGAGGGGGAGAGGAGAGGGGGAGAGGTGGCACTCAGCTGGGGGGTTTGGGTGCGAGGTTGGCCTGGCAGAGACAATAGACCTTAACCCTCTCTCTTTCTCTCTCTCCCCCTCCCCTCCCTTATTAATTGTAGGGTCTCTCAGCCCTTGCTTGACCGCTGTGTGCCTGACTATACCACTTTCACCACTGTGGGGGACTGGCTGGACGCCATCAAGATGAGCCGCTACCGTGACAACTTCGTCAACGCCGGATTTGCGTCGTTCGACCTGGTGGCCCAGATGACAGCAGAGTGAGTCTGAGAGGGGGTGCATAATCAGGCCTGGAGTGATGGACTCAAATTAGACTTATATAGATTGACCTTGTGGGAATTAGAAAAGTGTATGCTAAATTAAAAAAGATGATGACATTTTAATACACAGGGAATCTAGCCATAAGGGCCACCTATACCACGTTGGTATAGACTCGAGGAACTATAAATAGGGTTGTTTCTGGAAGGGCACCTGGTATAAAACCCCAGCAATTAGAATGGAGAAGCTGTGTTGACACAAATTGCTAAAAATTTGTTTTTATTATATTGACGCAATTTAGATTCTGCGCTGCAATATTTTAGTTTAATTAAAAGCTTTTACATAGTAATTACACAGAGCATTGCCCCAGCAAATGTTTATCCAGAGGAGGTTGTAAAGAACTCCAATAATGTTATTCTGGCAGCCAAGAATAACAAGAGAGGGAATGCCAAGTAGCATGCAAATCACATTTCCTCTGCTATGGAAAGGTTTATGCAATAAGGATGAGGCTAATATCACCTGCTGCAGCGGATAACAAGTCCTAATCAACACTAATCATTGAGCAGGTTCCCTTAACTGTGGTCACTGGTCGACCTTGGTGCCTCCCTGCATGTTTACAAACAGGAAATGATGTAATGGAATCTTTGGGCGAAATTGCGGTCCGGTGATGATCAAATGAATGAATTAGGACGATAATGATAAATAAATCTTCCTCATTAGCTGCATAATAGGCGGCGGAGGCGGGGGTAATTTGTTTCAATTTGAGCAGGCTGACAGGTGTGCTGTACTGTGGCTCTCTGCTGCCCTTAATGGCCAGTAATTCCTCTAATAGTCTCCATTTATTATCATTTCATCCTCCATCGCAGCACTGATGGGGGGCGCTTTAAAAAGTATTTATTATTATTTATTGTTGGCTTTTTGAGAGGGTGAATTTGCAGATGGAGTATGAATGCCTGAATGGCACTGGCTTATGTTTGTCCATGTTTAAGTGGCCACATTGAAAGATAGGCAGTCATTGAGGAAGTCCATGGTAATCACGTGTAATATTAGATTATACAGTGTGTGCGTGGATGAATGGGAAGGACGCAGACTGTGGCACACAACCAACAATCAGTTAATCGCAGGGCCCAGACGCCAGACGCTTTTTTGCGCAGCTATCAACGGGGGAAATCAAACAAGTGAGCGGAAAAGCACGGTGTTAAACCAAACAAAGCCTCGGTGATTAGATTGTGCAGTCTGACTAATGACTCCCAGTGTAGGTGCCCTCTCCCATGGCATTTTACAGTTGTAGTAATATTAACTGTATGTCAAGGTTTTACACACATACACACAAACATACACTAGGCCAGATTTCAGGAAGATTTTGCAAAGTCAGTATTGATGGTATAAGGAATATTATGGTTGGAAATGTGGTTGAATTTAATCTCTTGAAAGTAACAAATTAAGCATCCAAAAGCGCTGTCTCTCAGAGTGCAGACTGTGGCAAATGACTGTGTTAATCATTACCAGTGAGATTATAGCTCTTTCACATCTGCCAGGCAACGAACATATTCTGTGTTCCCAGAATCCACTAACATGAGTGTCCCTGTTCTGTTGACTTACCCATGAGGAGCACATTTTATGGCCCCTCTCTCGCCCTGTGTAGCCTGTTATCATGTGTGTATTTGCTCTTAGGTGAAAGTGAAATCTTCACTTGCATGTTGACTTCTGTGCATTATCACTGAGCCACCTGTTCTCTCTGTCTCACAGGGATTTGTTGCGGATAGGAGTGACGCTAGCCGGACACCAGAAGAAGATTCTTGGTAGCATTCAGGACATGAGACTACAGATGAACCAGACGCTCCCTGTACAAGTGTGAGCTGTGGGACACACAGACTGATGCAGTCTAAGGACAGACAGACTCCAGGGGCTGAACGGGGCTGAACAGGGCCAGAGAGAGCCATGGGAAACCCCAGCTGCCTCACCATCTCTTCCAATTAGACACAAAGAACAGGCGTGCAGTGCCTCGGACTAGTCTTTTCTCCTTCTCACCGACGCTTCAGCTTTTGCTCAGTTTTATTTACCATGATTTCTCATCCCACAAGAACTTGTGTGTTTTGCTTTTGAGACAAAAAAACCTTCCCCATGCCTCACCATCACCTCCAGTGTCTAATGGATTTGCATGTGCGTTCTCATGTGGTTTGCCTTAACCTTCTGATCCAAACCCATCTGCTGTGAACACGGCAGAAATGACACTCCCTGGTTTATGAAAATAACATAAACATCAAGTCAAAGGAAACTGAAGAGGTATTTTGACCCAGACAAGGACAAACTAACCCAGTAGATGTTATTGCTTTCATTTTCTCAGTGCACATATATGTTATTTTCCATCTTCATATTGAAGGTGTGTTATCCAAAAGGGCACTTGCTGGGGAGGAGGATAATGATCGGGTCCGGGCGAGGAGGTCAGAGGGCAAAGATGGCAGCCACATCTCTGGAGACTGTTTTGGCTGTTTCATAACCACGTGACCTGACTCCCTCAGTTCTTCTTTGGGATCATGTCTCCATTAACTCTCTCTGTGTTTCATTACACCCTCCCATTTGTCCACATTTTTGTTTTCACTTTTTCACAATTGGGAGATAAATGACTTCAAAATAAACCAAGTCGACCCCTGATGGACACTTGATGTGCTACAAAAGACTGTACCACAGTGACCGACCACTTGGCCTTTTGTGTGTTTTGTACCCAGTGTGCACTGTGTGAGTGAATGACAGAGGAGTGTGTGGGTTTGGTCGTGTGTTAGTTGCACACAAATATACTGTACAATACAGCTTCCGCTATTTGCCAACGTGGAGAGTTACCGCATGAACTGAACCGTGACATGGAGCAAAAGTTATGCTATATTCTGTGGACAACTGTTAAACTTTTTTATTGAATTAAAAAAAGAACTTTGGACTTCCACACATATATAATTATATGTATGCATCATACGGAGAGAAACCATGATGGACACCTTACTTTCTACTTAATATTACCTGGATTTAGAATAATCAAAATTCTTGTTTTAATTTCCTGCCCTATGTATTTATTTGTACCTCCCCCACCCATCTCCCCCTGCACCAAAACCAGGTGGACCTTTGGCCATTTGGGACTATGGAACAATCAGAAGTGAGAGGAATTTCAAGAGGATTCTCATTAAACTAAAGAAATGACATATAAATTGGATATTGTATTTTTGTTGTTGTTCTAAACAGCCTGTAAATGTTTTGTAACAAAAATATGATAAATAACAAATGAAATTCTGTGTTTTGACAAAACAGGTGTTGTGAAATGTTTGGGTTGGGGTGGAATTAAGAGTAGACAGAATATTACATCCACTGACATTAGTGTACGAACCCTAGTTTCTGCTCTATGTAGGTATGCTTAGACTGGCACTTAAGAGCTGTATAAAACTTCCTGAATTTCAAAAGAGCATATCCCAAAGTACTGGGCCTTTGCTTAATGATCTTCCATGCACCTTAACACATGTCAGCGATTCATCAATGTCTCTCATGTGTAATATTTCCCATAATTCCTCACACCGCCAGCTTGTCTTAACATACCATAGCTGTTAAATGCTTGTAAAACCCTGACATAGTGCTGTGTCAGACTTGTCAACTTGCCTGCCAATCATCAGGAGCAGGCCCAGAGGCAGAGCTCCGTCACAGGGCCCACGCTTTTTCCACCTCATCAGAGAATCCTGGAGAAACCTTTTGGTCTCCGCCTGTCAGGTCGATTACCACGGGAATGGATCAGGCATTGTCAGGATCCATCGCCGTAGAAACGTACAGTGTGACAGGCTGACCTATCATTATCTCTCTTAATTTCCTGTCTGCCGCGCAATCACTGTCTCCACTCGGACTGTGTGATCAGTACAGTCAAAGTCAACTACAATTCCAGGAGACTGTACGAATTTGTGTACCCCGTAGTTTCCTAAATGATAGCAGATGAGCACGAGTCCAGATTATTTCAGCATTTTGTTAAGTGCAGTGTCTGCTATGGAATTTCAAGCTAGTTTTCATATTATGTGGGTTAGATCTATCAGCACAAGGTATGTTTTTAATCTGATGCCACTTGTGCAACCTTTTGATTCTTATTTAGTCTGTCACATGATTTATGCATGCCATACAGATGCCGTAGTGAGCAGAACATTACATATCCAGGTTTGGAACTTTGTGATTAGCCTGTTGAAATCAATATAAAAAGAACTGAGGAGATGAACCCAGTACATTCAGTTCCATGAAGAAAATTGCATTGTTACAACAGCATAGTAAACAGACAAACAGCAGTGTCTAAATAAGTTTATTTTTTATTTATTTATTTTTTACAATATTCAAACACACAGACTGAATGAAAATAATCTCAGTAGAAAAAAATACATTTAAAGGTCCTATATTACACAGAATGAATTGTTGTGAGCTTTAAGCTATGTTAGAAAGTTGTTACCTCCTCAAAAACATACCTGGAGTTGTGTTTTGTTTCATTCACACATTTTAAAAATCCTTTATTATTAGTGTAATTACATCTCCAAAGCTCAAAATGCTCTGTACCACCTTGTGATGTCATGTAAAGGTAGTTTACAAATTAACAGTTACCTTTTATCTTTATTTCAGAAGAGATTAGCAATTCCATGTGCAAATGAAACAAAACACGACTCCAGGTATGTTTATGATGAGGAAACAACATTACAACTTAGATCACAAAACAGCGTAATATTGACCCTTTAAAACCATAAATACTACACCAACACCAAAATGTCTTCCGGGATTACCAGGAGAACTTTTGCTCTTGACTTCCTGAATAGCCCATAAGCCACCCGCTGCTGCAGACCATACATCACCGAGCTGATGAAACAAAGATGGTCCCACTGAGGGACTAAGCAGGATCATATGGTAAAGGTGTGTATGAAAAACGGCAGCACTTTGGAGCCGGTGAACTATTGATGAAGTGCACATGGTGTGGTGTTGTTTTGAGCCAAAGCCAGGCGGGCGTGAGGGATGAGCTCCTCTGGCACCAACTCACATCTTTAAATGATTATGCTGCCAACACATCAGCAGCAAACAATTCATCTTTGAGGAAGAGCCTCCAACACGTCCATGGGAGTGTTTAAAATTTAACTTTTACAACAACAGGGGAAACCAATTTGTTAGTGTAGAAAGTGTAGTTCTCAGGGGTTCTCAAGCTGTGGATGCAAAATTTCATAAACTGGCTTCTACTGGTTGTGTTTACAGCTTAAAGGGTTCATATTACGCTATTTTTTCATCTGTGTTATAATGTTTTCTCATCAAAAATAGACCTGGAGTTGTGTTTTGTTTCATTCACATTTAGAACAGAAACCCTGCATATTTAGGAGTTTTTCTTTCAAACAGAAAACGCTTGTGGTGTCATGTGGTAATTACAAGAAGTGCTCCACTGTATTTTCAAACTCCATACATCTTCACTACAATCATTTGGATAATTTCATCTCTGGAATTGCCCATTTCCACTGAGCAAAATGTAAAAAGAAGCTGAAATCTACCGTTTCATGACATTACAATGTAGAACTTTGAGCTTTAGAGATGTAGACTAATAATAAGAGTGTGAATGAAACAAAACACAACTCTGGGGATGTTTTTGAGACGGTTACATTATAACATGGCCTAAAGCTCATAAGAGTCAATTTTGTGTAATATAGGACCTTTAATATAGAACAGGCCAAAGGTAAACAAGGGTTTCTAAACAAGGCTCGAATATAAAGCACCACGTGTAACTCACTTGAGAAAAAACTGACTAAAATAAAAGCAAATATCACAGTCAATCTTTTATTGCACTAGGACTTTGAAAAACATTCATCATTTAGTGTGAGCAGGCTTGCATCTCCACAAACCTGGCTCAAACATAGCATGAAATTGTATTACTTTGGATAAAATTGTATGCCTTGAATCGTATCTGGAGAATTTTTCAAAAAAGACTGGTTTGCAATTTTCTGTTTCTATGGATTCATGCAGTTGAAGTGCCGACACCAAAAAGTTACGCGGTGAGGCTATAAATTGGTTTAGCTTCATCCATTTGAACTTACTCAGATTTCTACACTGTGAAAGTCTTAAATCATTTCTTACCTTATCTTAGAACTGGAACATGCAGTTTTTGTGGTTTATGTTTAGAGCAGATTTATCCGTGGTCTAGTCTTTTTACCGCTGATATTCCATGTCTTTTTTCATTTCGTACCTTCCCCCAGACCAGAGTAAGTCAATCATTCAGATGATACTTGGAAATCCAAATATTTCCTGAGGTGGTGTCAAAAGTTTGTGAATCACAGTCACTGGTCTCGCCAAACACGTCTTCCTGTGCCAATACAAACTTGTTGGAACATTCCTTCATCTTATCTTCCCATGTTTAGACTCCTTCAACATGCCGTTTCTATGACTGCACTTAACCCTTTGGCTGCTTTTCCATTACTGCCTTTACAGTAGCTGACTTCTCCTACTAACAAGCCCAGTGTTTCTGATGGATTTCATAACATGTGTCTCCTGGAGTTATTATGATATACGATATTATACATGTAGAGACAAACTACAACTGTACAATACACAAAAATCCATGCGAAACAAAGCAGTTGTCAGTTTCTCTTTGAAAAGCATCCAGGCGTATTCTATGACTCAAATGAAATGACAAAAAATATGATGTGTTATTGTAGAGATATTTTTAAATTATCCTTTTTGCAATTAAATTATTATACAAACTTGACTCTGGCCTTGACTGTTTTCTTTGTACATTCACAAGCTGTACAGTATGGGATTTAAACAGCAAGTAGTGTTACCATGGCAACAGCACACTATTTATATGCCGTGGTCGAGGTTATTCGCTTGTAAAAAGGCTGATTCCAGTTTAAATGTGGACCACGTAACCTTCCTGGTGAAGAGTCCGCTACCTGCTCGTCTCCATGGTGATGCTATTCCTTTGCCGAATGTTCCGCACTAAAGTGACTTATCAGTATCCATGGAGACAGGCATGTGGCGAATTACAGGTCAGATCTGTGAAGGCGCAGCTCTGGTCACACTGAAAATATATGTATAAGATATTTTTTGAGCACCAGTGTTTGAAAAGATGTGAGATAGATACGTTAATGCCATACTGTGGAACATTCTTGGCAAAACAATATTAGAGACAAGCAGATTCTAGAATTTTGAAATTCAAGTTTGAACAGTCTGGGTACTATATGGTTCTTTTAAACCTTCTAACACAGTGTTCAGGCGATACAGCAAAGAGAGCAAAACATCTTGTGGACACAGGTGGAAAAAGCAAAATGAAGGTTAGCCAAAGCCGGACAGAATATGTGAATGAGATGGATCCATGCGGAACAGCGGAGGAAGTTGAAAATGGTGCAGAATCTAAAGTATACTGGTGGTCAATAGTTCAGAGCCTTAGAGAGAGTTTGGAAAAGAGTGTGCTGGTAATATTGTAGAGTGTAGAAACAGTCACAATGAAGAAGAGAAAGGGCAGCTGGAGCAGGAGGGGTGAAGATGTTTAGGAAAAGAGATGAGAATAAACCCATATACTGTATGTGTGTTGTGTGTGGGATTTGAGAGGAAATATTGGGTACTGGTAGAAAGATGTTGAGGTTAGAGCTTCCAAAGGGGTGTATGGATGTCATGAAATTGAAATTAAATATAGCAACACCGTGTAACTTTTCACCTGCATAATTCCGTGGAACTGGAAAGCATACTCCGGAACATTTTCCATAGAGATAGACACATTTTATGCCATACACTGGGGAGTATTATAGCCAAAGGAACAATGGAATGTAAGCCGAGTCAGATTTGAACCACTGTCTTTAGGACTTGACACTTGACTTGATAAACAAAGACAAAGACTTGGGACTTGACTTGGACTTGAAGGTCAGTGGGACTTGACTCGGACTTGAGCCCTGTGACTTAAGACGACATGATGCTTTGACTAGTTGACAGATTAAATGTCATTAAGCACTCTTAAATCTGAATTCTTTCCATTCTGACCGTAATAATTCACACTCTTATCAAGGCATTTAAAAAGGAAAAATCTAAATTTCTACAACTTTTATTTAAATATTCATTTATAAATATACCAAGACTTTTTAAGTACAATTTAGTTAAAACATTATAAAAAGTGCAGAAATCTATTATATATTTGGTACTTTGTTTTAAAGACTTGAAATGACTTGAATCTCAAAGCAGACAACTTGGGCTTAACTTGGACATAACTTGGACTCGTGGGCCAGTGACTCGAGACTCG